CCCTCTGAAGGTATTATATTCGTTTTTGGTTTTAAAGACTAAATTATAACAATATCTTATTTTTAAAATAAAAAATTTATTAAATCGATTTCATGAATTTTATTAAAAAAACCAATTGGCGATTTTTCTTCAGAAATTGCGATTTTTTTAAACAATCTGGACACCCTGGTCGGTAACGTCGATAACTATGTTTCACCGGAAATTAGTGTTAACCAGACATTGAGTAACCGGCCCTAAGTATGCACAACTGGGCTATGATCATTATCACCGATTTCGACATCATTCATACAACATGTGATCGATATAGCAGACGTATTTAACCGGAGCTTCTACTTCCGATTTGTGCTAATCAGAGATTGAACATCCGGCCCTAAGTGGAAGGTTCTATCACCTTTTATTTCTTTGCTAGAGCTTTCCACATATTTCAAAAAACACGACAATTTGATATTGTTTTGCTCAAATTATGGAGCTGTCGAAAACTGTGTACTTACGAATTCGTAATCAGCACAAAAGGTCTATTAAAAACAGTTTAACAAGCGTCGCACCGATTTTTTTTTTTAAATTTTTGTTGGCCTGCGTTGTATATTCCGGAACTTCTTTTCTCAAGAATCGTACTTTATGGGAAGCATTTGCGCCTCGTGGTTGCGGGATTATATGCGCCGCACAGTGGTCGGAGAAGCCTTGTTTTACGCGAAAAATTAGAAGGGCTGTTACGATTGTAATAAAACTGCGGGATCGTAGTATTGTAATGCTAAATCCGAATAAGTTATAAAATTTATAGTTTCGAGAGTTGACAGCTGTAAAATCAACTGCAAATTTTTCATAAATTAAGAAAACCTTTTGAAAATACCACTGATTACGTTTCTTGACATGCTGATCACGAATTTTATGTCAAATTTAAACCATGACAGTTGACAGCTGTCAAATGGACTATGCATTTTTCAAAAAATTAGACCATCTTTTTAGAAATGCCACTAATTAGGTTTTTAGACATGCTGATCCCGAGTTTTCTGTAAAATTAAAACTTTGAGTTGACAGCTGTCAAATAAGGTGCTAATTTTTCGAAAAATAAGCAATTGTTTTTTAAGATGTTACTGATAAGGGTTTTAGATACGCCGGTACGAATTTATGTCAAATTAAAATTTTAAGAGTTTACAACTGTCGAAGAGGCTGTCAAGTTCTCTAGAAATCAGGGGAAATTTCCCAATTGCGCTCCTATTATGAGTTCATACGATGCACGATAAACGCTTGTATTTCGTTATTCTCTATTACGAATCGATGTTGTATAAAATGCGATAGTAAGCATAGCTGACTTATGCTGGTTCATAATACAAAGCTAACCAAAGCCAGAGCCATTCACAACAACACATCATTCATAATAGGAGGGTTGAACGTATTATGTTTTAAGGCTCATTGATCTCGAGTCATGTATCACATTCACGGTTGCCACATTTGGTCACTTGTAACCAGTGTTGGCAAAATGTTAATCTGATTAACGATTAAAATGTTAATTGCGATTAACGATTAAAATTAATTAATCGTAATCATCTGTACGATTAGTGATTAAGTTTTTTTAATCGTTAATCGTCGGTTGTGATTACGATTACTTAATTTTAATCATTAATCCAATTTAAAACAAGTAAAGTAAAGTAAAGTCTAAGTTCGGGCGGAGCCGAACATTAAATACCCGGCGCAAGTATTAAATATATGTTTTTTCACCCTTCCGAAACCTTCCGCTAGATGGTAAGCCGAGGTGTATCAATTTTGAGTAAATTAGCGTCCTTCAATTTCGAAATATTGAAGTTTCAAGCATTTCTTAAATTTACCGTTATATGAGAATCGGCCGTTATTTTAGTCCGATTTCAATAATTTTCAACGTTTTGCTTATATGTGGCAAGCACAATAACCACACCGAGTTTGGTACAAATTGGTAGAACGGTTACCGATATACATATATGTGATCATAAGTGGGCGGTGCCACGCCCATTTTCCAAAATTTTACCATAAACGTATTTCTTGGTAAAGAATTGTTGCAAGCATCAATTTTGAATAAATTAGCTTCAATATTTACTGATTTATCGAAGATTTTGTATTTCTCTAAATTACCGTTATATGGGATGTGGGCGTGGTTATTGTCCGATTTTAAAAAGTTTCGGCGGTTTTTTATGCTGTACCAAGGCCAACAACTGTGCCAAGTTTGGAAGAAATTGGTGCAGCGGTTACCAAGATATACACATGTAACCATAAGTGGGCGTGGCTACGCCCATTTTCCAAAAATTTATAATATTCTTATTTTTCGTCTAAAACTTATTGTAAATATCAATTTTGAGTGAATAATCTTCAGTAGTTACTAAAATATCGCAGTTTTCGTATTTCTGGAAATTACCGTTATATGGGAAGTGGGCGTGGTTAAAGTCCGATTTCGCCCATTTTCAATACCAACCTACCTTGGATTAAGGGAAACCTACATACCAAATTTCGTTGAGATATCTCAATTTTTGCTCGAGTTATCGTGTACACGGACAGACGGACAGACGGACGGACAGACAGACATGGCTTAATCGATTTCTTTTTTCATCCTGATCATTTATGTATACATTTATCTATATCTATCTCGATTCGTTAGGGCTGTTACAAACAACCGTTATGTGAACAAAATTAATATACCCTTGTGCACAAGTGCGCTCGGGTATAAAAAAAATCTGATTAAGTGGTCTAGTGTGTCCGAATTTGAAACCAAACACGGGTTATAGTTATTTTTTTTTGTGTTTCACGCTTTAAGAAACGCATAATATATAAAAAAAATTATAAGAATTATTAATAGTAATACGTAAATTGGGGATTTTTATAACCCATCGCACATGTGCAGAGGGATATTAAAACCTAGTTTGCTTAGCGTCTGTTACAGGCTAACCTAATATTCACGCACGCCGCCAATTTATTGTCAAAAATTTCTCATGCACATGCAACTTGTATGAGATCAACCGAAATTGAACGGCGTGCGTATGAAGCTAACTCAATTTCCAATTTTTGTTCTGCGTGACATTTTGATTTGACGTTTCGCTCAATGAAATCAAATGCAAACGCATGCAAGTCAATTTCGGGTGACGCAAAAAAACAAATTCGACGGCATGCGTACTAAAACGCAAGCCGCGAATATTAGGTTAGCCTGTTAAATAGATCTTAATGAAAATGCACACCAAATTGCTTAGATTTATGAAGAAAACCGACATTGCCATATCCGATTAACTGGCCTTGTGTGCACAGTAAAATTCCAGCATAAATTAATTAATCACCAAACCTACTTAATCAAATTAAAGGTTAATGATTAAAAATTATTTTTTTTTTAATCGCGGTTACGATTAACTGTTTAATCAGATTAAAATTAATCATGATTAACTGAAATCGGATTGAATTTAATCGAATTAACTAATTGATTAAAAAATCAATCGATCAATGCCAACACTGCTTGTGACCAAAATAGGTAACTTTTTGAGTGCTTGGTAACTTGGATGTGATTTATCGCGCGGGAATGCGACATGTTCAATATTTATCGCGTCAGTATTTACATGTTTTTGTGTCGAGAGGTTTAAAGTCCAATATATGAAGCCTGGAAATCTTATCTTAATATTATTTTATTGAAAATCATATATATTTTTTATTATCAGCCGAATTCTGAATACTCCCTGGGAGTTTGTTTTCCGGGATTTGCTTCTCCCGAGAAAGAAATCCTCCAATAATAAACTCCAGGGAGTAGTATTTTCCCCGAAAGTTGGGGAGGAGGAAATTGGAACTTCAAAAAAGCTGTATGACACTTTTTTGACAGCTCAACTCCGTCAGTTTGTGCGGTGTATTTGGGATCTTTAGCGCTTCGGTATATGCACTCAAGTCGACTGTTTAAACAATTCCTTTGTTCTGAGGCTAGGATCCCGTTCAAAAGACAAGAGCTTAAAGCGCGTTTTTATGAAAAGCATGTTTTTAAACGCATGCGTTTTCATTATACAGGTGCGTATTCAGAGATTGAATAAAAGTGTATTTATATACGTATGTAAATGAGGCCTTGAGCGCTAGAGTAGCTTAACTGACATTTAAAAAAAAGTTGAGGTGCACCTTAAAATGCATAACTAGAATCGAAACGGTAATAGCCCGAGGCATATGTAGCATCACGTAGGTGCAATGAATTTTTTAGTAAAAGACCGCATTTATTTTTAATAGATCCTTTTTCTCATATTCAGGGCTATCACGGAATCCATCGTAGAAAATCTACGAATTCGAATGCCTGCTACGAATACGAAAAAATTGCTATCACTGATTCCGAGTGAACTCGAAAATATCGTTGCCAGCTTCGAATGTTGATTCGAAATCAGCTAGTGCATAGGAAACAATAGACATTTGTGTATGCCATTTTGCTCACCCTGCCCCAGCGGTCGCAATGGCCGAGTGAGCAAAGCACTAGACTGCCAATTGAGAGATCCGAGTTCGAGTCTAAGTCGTCGGCAGTGGAGCTTTTTTCTTTTCTTATTTCATTTTTGTTTTTTTTTTAATTATTATTTTTTTTTAGTTTAGATTTTATTCTTTTAAAGAGAAAACTATTTTTTTAAAATTAATTTAAATTTGTATTTTTTAAAATAAATTTATATGTTATTAAAGTAATTAGATTTCTTTCCTAATAAATTGTTGTTAAACTATTATTTCCTCGCTTCAAGAAAAAACATTCATTAAATAGCGTCTAGCAGATGAATATATGTATGTTCATATGTAGGTATGTATGCCATTTATATTTTACGTCTACGTTTACACAAATATATGGAATTATATCAAACCATAACAAATATGGAGTATAATAAATATTTATTATTAACAATAATGCAGCTTTTCTCCGTTATATTTAAGATTCAGTGATTTTAAATTTTGTTCCGACAGCATAAACTCGTCGTAGTGTATCTGTACGAATCTTCATTACGAACGGATTCAATGAATGCTCTCTACGCATTTCGAATTTACGTTCGTAGCCATTCGGATTCTGTGGTAGCACTTTCGTAGGTTTCACGAAAATCGACGCTACGATGGATTCTGTGATAGGCCTGGTCCTCATGGCCTCACGTACAATGAATTTGTTTAGTTTCCTTATAATAAAAACTATTTATTGTACCAATGTCTTATTTATGACAAAATAAACGACGTTTTTACAGTTTATTGTATAATAAAACATTGTTTTTTACTTGGTAACTTTTAGGTAACTTTGTTTGTAAACTCTGGTCAGAATTTTTTTGTCGTGTGGCCACCGTGATCACTTTCAAACTTTTTCAAAAGTGATAAACTCTCGATGAACTTGATAAAATGATACATTTATCATTTCGATAAATGAACTGTCAAACTTTGTATGGGAATCAATTTAACCAAAGTTTATCACTTTATCAAACGATTTTGGTGGATAAATGTATAAATTTCAGCAAAGGTTACCAGGTGGTCGCTTTTGCTACGAACACATAAAAAGCAAATGAACACAATGGGCGAGGTAAGAATAAAAACGTAACTACCATTCATGAAAGAATGCGGATAAACTGATAAATTTAAGGAATTTATCCTTTTATCACTTTAGATGAAGACCCCTAATATATTTGTTGTCTATAATGAATTTAAGATCAAAGTATGAAATAATAACAGTAATTATATTTATAAATTAGGTATAGTTGGGGCCGTCTGCTATATCTTCAGCCCAAATAATTTGATCCTGGCCTCAACAGTTTTTTTTTTAAGATCTTTTATTTTATACGAAATTCGTCATTTCCAAAACTTTAGTTTCCTCATTTTTAAATAAAGTTATTCAGGTTTGACTTTTTGGAAATTTCTGACGCCATAATAAATATTGAACTTTGAAATTCAGAACCTCAAAATACCAAATTTCATAAAAATTCAGTACTTTTTTAAATTCTTGGACGTTATTGGATTTTTGAAAATTGAGTTCTGCTTTGTTAAGACACATTTTATAAATGATATAGAAAAAACAAAATTATTCTTAAACATTTTAGTACACTTTACGTTATTTGGGGAACTGCAAAGTTGGTGTAGTGAAATAAAAATGGCCGCCCTTTTTCCAGCGTTAGTATGCCCGGCTTTTCTTTTCGTAGATCCTTAAAGGGCCCTTTGCATTAGTTTTTTCGTAAAGAATTGAAGATCCTACTCGGCCCTTCTAATTGTTATGTATACCTTTTTAAACAAAATATTTCTTTAAAAATAAGCCGTGTTATTAAGGTGTTGATAATTTAACAACCAAGTATTAATATGTAATATCTGCGGTCATAAGTAATAACCGCCTAAGTAGATTTAGAAAGAATTGAGTTATATATGCTATCGTATTCTGCAACTGCTATTCGATGTGTATGTGAAATTCCCATCTCGTCAGCTGGTTATTTAAAAAATTATAGACGAACATAATTTGGTTTCCCCATACGGTTAACATGTAATGTTTAAAATGCTTTTTCTCGAATCCAGGTTTTTCGACTTAGGCGGTTATTGTTTATGGCCA